TTTTTTTTTTTTTTTTACATCTTAGCCAATCACAGATAAATGCAAATATAAACCTAAGCAGTTGAAAATTCTGTCATCATTTACTCACCCTCAAGCTTTTCTGGACATCTACGCATTTCTTTCTTCTATGGAACACAAAAGAACATATTTTGAAGGAAATCTGGTAACCACACGGTTTCAGTTCCCATTGATTTGAAACTGTTTGGTTAGCAACATTTTTCAAAATATCTTCTTTTACGTTCCGCAGAAAAAAGAATGCCATTCACGTTTGGAACAGTATAGGGGTGAGTAAGTGAGAGAATTTTCATTTCATTTCGAATTTTCAGATACCTTTAAAGTTATAGTATATAGATGAAATATATTTTATTGCTTTTCTCAGTTTTGTTCCAGGAGAGGTGGATCTACGTTCAGAAGGAGAGTACGCGAGAGGTGAGATGAATTATGTCATAGCATCAACATGTACAAGACTCAAAGAGTAGCAAAAAAACAACATGAGTCATAGAACGTTTGATGCCATTGCTTATATATCACAGTTCTCCCATCGGTAGTCTTTTCTAACCTTTGTCAAATGTGAACCGTGTGTTTGTTGTTGCAGAGGCATGGGTACTGTACGCTTGGTGAGGCCTTCAATCGTCTAGACTTTTCCAGCGCCATTCAGGATGTGAGGCGCTTCAACTATGTGGTCAATGTAAGTAAGAACAATTGCAAGAATGCCTCTCTCCATTTGATTTACTTACTCTGCTTTCCTTCTGTATCCTCTCTCACGTTATCCACTTTGTTTACTTATCTTAGCTTCTGCAGTTGATTGCCAAATCCCAGCTGACGTCTTTGAGTGGAGCTGCTCAGAAAAACTATTTCAATGTCCTGGAGAAGATTGTGAGAAAAGGTGAGCTGATCTTTTTTTTTTTTCGGACTTTATCCAGTTGCATAGAAAATGCGGAAGACATATTGTCCTGATATATGTGCTTATACAAATGTACATGTATATTTGTTTGTTTTTAATCGCACAGTTCTGGATGACCATCAGAACCCACGTCTGATCAAGGCGTTGTTGAATGATCTAAGCTCCACACTCTGCATCCTCATCCGAGAAGTTGGGAAGTCTGTGCTGATTGGCAACATCAACATTTGGGTCTGCCGTTTAGAAACCATCTTAAACTGGCAGCAGCAGCTCAACAATTTACAAATTCCAAAGGTAGTCTTTTCATAATTTTCTTAAGGGTTAGGCATGGGCAAAAGTGGGTCAGTGGGTTTTCTGAATGAGTTCTGAATGAGCACCAGAAAAGGAAAGATAAATAAATTAATTTATATAAATGCACAGATCAGTTTCACAGTCAACACACATCTAGTTGTGAGTAGTGGGATGATTAATAAATAATATGATTATATTAACATGATTATATTATTATTCGATATCATGTAGCATTTTTAATTTTTTGTCACAGTATGCATTTATTATATAAAAAATGAAATGTTATTACATAATATATAATTAATATAAAATAATAAATAATAACCTTAAATTAATTATAAATCAATAAACTAATAAAACATTACTAAATAATAAATAAATAATCATATATCAATATAAATATCGCATTTATTTAAAGGGATAGTTCACCCAAAAATGAAAATTCTGTCATTAATTACTCGCCCTCATGTCGTTCCAAACCCATAAGAACTCCGTTCATCTTCGGAACACAAATTAAGATATTTTTGATGTATTCTGACAGCTCTCTGACACACCCATAGACAGCAATACGAGAATACTTTTTGTGCGCAAAAGAGAAAAAAAAAAGCACTTTATTCAAGAATTTGTCTCCTCCGTGTCACCGTCATTTTTGGGTGAACTAACCCTTTAAGGCCAAATTACTAAATATTATAAAAATGCAGAAAAATAATAATCAGTGGTAAAATATAATGCTAAATAGCCTATGTCTTGTTGCAGCAAGTTTCAAATGGCATGACACTGAGTGACCTCCCTTTGCACATGCAAAACAACATCCTGTATAAGTTTAGTGATGCCTGTGACATCATCAATCTGGGACCGCCCTCATGTCGTTCCAAACCCATAAGAACTCCGTTCATCTTCGGAACACAAATTAAGATATTTTTGATGTATTCTGACAGCTCTCTGACACACCCATAGACAGCAATACGAGAATACTTTTTGTGCGCAAAAGAGAAAAAAAAAAGCACTTTATTCAAGAATTTGTCTCCTCCGTGTCACCGTCATTTTTGGGTGAACTAACCCTTTAAGGCCAAATTACTAAATATTATAAAAATGCAGAAAAATAATAATCAGTGGTAAAATATAATGCTAAATAGCCTATGTCTTGTTGCAGCAAGTTTCAAATGGCATGACACTGAGTGACCTCCCTTTGCACATGCAAAACAACATCCTGTATAAGTTTAGTGATGCCTGTGACATCATCAATCTGGGACAAGCCACACCAACACTGCACATGCTCAGTGAGGACCGGCAACTGTGGAAGAAACTGTGCCAGTTTCATTTTGCTGAGAAACAGGTGAGGAATAAGACTTTTATTAAGTCACTCATAAACAGTTCTAATTGGATGATTCATCAGTTAGAGATACTGTCATTACCATCACACACAAATCCACGTATACTATATATATATATATATCAATATTTCAAGTAGTCATGCTTCAAATTGAAGAATTGCCCATATATAATTGTCTGTTTAAGCACATAATAATAACCATTTATCTTTGGAGATTAAAGGCCGAGTAAGTGATTTCTGGTAGCCAATGTTGATATTTGAAATCACCAAAACAAACACGCCCCTACCCCAAAAGGGTCTTGCCCCTATTTTGATAGCTCCGCCCCACATATACGTACGCAACCCAGGCAACGATTAGTTCTGTGAAACAAAGCAAAACCAATGTTACACCGTGTCTACGGACGTGAGCGGCGCGGCGCAACAAATCCCCGACAGAAAACTGCTGCCGGGTTCTATTTATGACGTGCTGACACAAATTTCAAATGGTTTTCAACGGTCGTTTGATCCCGTCCAGTGTAGGCGGACTTTAGCTGTTGTAGACACGGTGTTACTCACCTATTGAGAAGAAACAAAGCAACCTCGGCGTCCGATCGTAGGCCTCCGCTCCTTGAGTTCTCTCCAGCGCTGGAAAGCTGATCCGATATTTACACGGGTCCTACTTCTTGCCTTATCGTTCCGCAGACGTTTTCCTCTTTTGTTTTTTATCCGCCATCTCTATCTCTCTGTCGCTCGGCTCGGCTAATGTCCGTCCCATGCACTGAAAGCTCTCTCCTCCACATCACGAGACGAGTAGACACGCCCCTTATTGCTGATTGGCTACAAGCCGTCCCATGCACTGAACGTGCTCTCCTCCACATCACGAGTAGACACGCCCCTTATTGCTGATTGGCTACAAGTTTGTTTTGCGATTCGGCCGAATCAGTTTTCTAAAGTGTTTTTGAAAAATCACTTACTCTGCCTTTAAAACTAGCTGAAAGTTGGGTCAGTGACCTAATTTGACCACAAGATGGCAGTCAGGCTTGTTCCTCACAGAGCTCTCTGTTTGTGTGTTCAGTTCTGCAGGCACTTGATTCTGTCAGAGAAGGGCCATGTGGACTGGAAGCTGATGTTTTTCACACTTCAGAAATACTACCCTCAGAAAGAACAGTACGGAGACACTCTGCAGTTCTGCAAGCACTGTAGCATCCTCTTCTGGAATGTAAGAAATCCTTATTTAAATGTCAAACATTCTGGTCTCTGAATAAACAGCACGACATCCCTCCTTGTTACTATGTAGATTTAAGTGCTCTTCTCAAACGTTTCCCTTGTTGAAGCCCTGTACAGTATGTGCACACTTGATTGCTCCTACCCCTGCATGCTTTTTTTGTGTGTGCAAATATCTTCTATAATTGCAGTTTGTGGGCAGAAAACCATATAGCCACAATTATCAACATACAAGCATCAGTTTGTTCCAGTCATCTTTATTTAAAATATAGGGGACCAGTATTAACCAGTATATACTCTAGCGTTAAAACATTTGGGGTCAGTAAGATTTGTTAAATGCCTCTTATGCTTACCAAGTCTGAGGAAATGTTCATTTTTTTGGTGAACTATTCCATTAAGGCCTCAGTCTCTATAAGCCTTTTTACTGGGCACAAAAAAAGTGAAGTAATATCGTGCAATATTTAAAATAATTTGAAAAACGAAGAAATTTATTTATGTGATGACAAAGCAAAATCAGTCATTGCTTCAGTCGTGTCATTCTGATATGCTGATTTGCTGCTCAAGAAACATTTCGTATTATTATCAATGTTGAAAACATTGCAATGCTGCATAATATTTTTGTTGTGATACATGTTTTTCAGGATTCCTTGATGAATACAAAGTTCATACGAAAAGCATTTATTTGAAATAGAAATCTTTCGTAACATTGTAAATGTCATTACTGTCACTTTTGATCAATTGAATGCATTTTTGTGAAAAAAGTATTAATTTATTGAAGAAAATATTCTTTCTTGCCCCAAATGTTTGAACAGTAGTGTATTTAAAAGAATAGCTCATTCACATAAATGACAGAAGCTGAAAAATTAAGGCTCACTTTTAACATACTTATTTTCATTTTGAAAAAGTTTAATTTCAACTCTTTCGGGTTATTTCTATTCAGTAATATCAGCCCTCTTCCTGTACCCTTTGACCTTTTATTTTTTTTCCTGTTCTCCTCCTGGTCCCTTATCTCCTAAAGGACAGACACCTGGCTTTGATCTTTAAGGTACATGCTAAATCTTATATGAGTGTGCCAGCGTTTTGAAATTAGTGTCTGTAAACAAAATTTGTTTTGCTTCATCGGTCATTTTTTTTCTTTTTCTCATCACCCTTTCTGTCCATCATTCTGTCTTGCACTTCAGTCCATTCAAATCAGCTGGACTTTATCTGTCTTTTGTATTCATTTAATATTTGAGTGGACATTTATCTAAATGTATTCTTTTTTTCCATTTGCTTTTTTATGTCGTCAGTATGTTCCACAACGTTATACACTAATGCTAATCACATGAACATACATACAATGACCATTATTTTTGCTAATACTAATTAGGAATTTGAACAAACCTCTAACGTATTACATTGCCGTGTGTAACTAAAGCCCCGTTCACACCAAGAACGATAACTATAAAGATAACGATATTAGCGTCCACACCAGCGAACGATATCGTCTGTTTATTCTAAGCGCACGTGCGTCTGCCGCTTTAAATTCTCGAGCTCGTTACAGCAGGATGGATTCTGATTGGCTGTCAATGTTTGCATCGTTCATCAGCTGGAAAAAATAGTTCTGAAAATGATTCCAACGATATCGTTTCTCTGTGCCTTTGTCGTTATTGTTGTAGTGTGGACTCTGCTATTCTTTAATATTGAGAACTATTTTTAGAACTATATCTTTATTGTTATCTTTATAGTTAATGTCCTTGTGTGAACGGGCCTTTACATTGCTAGATAGTAACTGGTTATATGTAATCTGGATTAGGTTACACTTTATTTTACAGTGTCTGTAAAATAATATGATAAACAAATTAGGTCAAAAGTAATCTAGAAGTAGTAGCCCAAATACATGACCTAAAATGTGTAATGTAATAGATTACATTACTAACTACAATTTTACTAAGTACACGTCAGTAATGGGCTACAATTTGTAAGTAATTTACCCAGCATTGGTAACTCATCTTCTAGATTATTAAAATGTTTTTTCACGCTAACTGTTCACTGAAAGCTTCTTTGGGGGAACCCAAATTGGTTTTTCCCTGGAACCGTTTATTTTTAAGAGGGAAGAAGGGACCCTAGCAACCAACCAATGTGGCAGCGACTTCCTCAGAAAATGTTTTAAACTGATTCTCTCTTTGCATCTCAGGACTCAGGACATCCTTGCACAGCGAACGATCCAGACAGCTGCCTCACCCCCGTCTCTCCTCAGCACTTCATAGACCTCTTCAAGTTCTGAAATTCAGAATGTTCTTGGACCTCTGACCTTTTGATAACCTCTAACCAAGACTCTGAAACTGATCAAATATGTTCGACTTTTCAACTCTGTGCTCCAAACCATGTCCTTTCCTTTTACGTTTCCCAGACAGTCGTTCTGTTATTAAAACGTTCAAACTTCCGAAAATGTAACTAATAATTGAATTTTCTGTTGCCTCACCCAAACTTTTAAGGGCTTATGGAAAGATGTCATAATATTAGTGTTTCTTTTGTATTGTCCTCTTTTTTTTGTTTTTGTTCCTCATTGCGTTCTCAGAGAATTCATTTGTTCTTTAAGCACAGAAAGATGGGAGATAAACAGCAAAAAGAGGCAGGATATGTGAAGGATTGTTTGTTAAAAAAGGAAAACAAAGAAAACAAACTTGCTTTTGGGAAAGACAAGCTGAAGCGAAAAGTGTGGGAGATCCTAAGCAGAGGTTATCTTGTCTTTTCATGTATGTATTTTCATTTCTATACCAATGAAATGCACGTCAGAAGTAGTCGTAGGTTAATGTTTACGTGGGTTCTCGTGTCGTTTTGTCATGCTGTGTGTATATATTTGATGCGTCAACACTAAAGTGTACATTTGCTGCACAAAACAACTTTTTACGATACACTTTTGTCAAATCTGTTGCGAGGGCAGATGGAAAATCTAATGTAAGCTTTGCTATTTATGAACAAATGTATTTTATATCCTTTCTCTGAACTTTGTAATATTCCTTTGCTATTCCAGTAATATAAATGTCATTGAAATGGGTTAAGTGTAGGATGTGCTTGGTACGATCAAGCATTTGCAAGAAACATCGTTGCCTAAAATAATTAAAACTTTTGGGAAATAGGTCTTGTGATTTTTTTGGTGCCCAGAAAAAAGGCTGATAGAGACCAAGGCCTAGGAATAGTTCACCAAAAATGAAAATTTGCTTAACATTTACAAACCCACAGGCCATCCAAGATGTAGGTGAGTTTGTTTCTTCATCAGAACAGATTTGGAGAAATTGAGCATTACATCACTTGCTCACTAATGGATCCTCTGCAGTGAATGGGTGCCATCAGAATGAGAGTCCAAACAGCTGATAAAAACATCACTATAATCCACAAGTAATCCACATGACTTCAGTCTATCAATTAATGTCTTGTGAAAAGTTGTGTGTTTGTAAAATACAAATCCATCATTAAGACGCTTTAACTTTAAACTTACTTCCAGCTAAAATACGAGTTGTTTATCCAAAATATTGCTTTCTTCAGTGAAAACGTAATCTTGTCTGAATCAGGAGAGAAATATGAACAGATCGTGCTTGATTTAACTGTGAAAAGTCCAAAACGGCTCTAAATAAAATATGTGGATTTTGTTTTTCAAAAACATTAAAAAATCTTACCGAACCGAAACTTTTTGTGGGGGAAAATAATGCTTGAGTACAAAGTAACTTTGAATTCAGAATCACCAACTTAATCTGAACCCCTGGAACAACATTTTATTATTTGCATTTAAATCATAATACAGAAAAAAAAAAAATTCAGTAGTATCAAGATAGAAATCAAAATAAGATTCTCGCAAAGGCCCAAAATATAAAGAGCAGAATCTGAAACTAACAATTTGTAATCATCTTTCAAAGTTAAACACATTGGTAGACTAATTATATAAAGCTACTTTGAACAACTAAGAGCAGCAAACCCACTTACTTTCAGAATCTGATTATAAATAATCTCCTAAAATCAGTAATAAGACTCTCAGACATGTTCTTCTAGCAAACCAAAGATCTTAGGCTGTTCAATGGCATCACCCAAAGGGTTATAAAATACATTTTATATTGGACTTATAAATGAGTATTGTCATTTTTATCGTGTTGGAAGAGAATAACTGGTTAACATGTTGTGATCACAATACAAAATGAATTTTAAGTCGAGGCACAGCAAAGAAGAATACTTCATGATAAAACGGCACAGCTCTTGAGGTCGTTGGAAGGCTTCAAATATTAAGGTTTGTAACGGTAATCGTTACCATAAGACATCTGGATACTCATCCAACCTGCTTCAGAACTTAAGTTTCAATCCTAGAAGACTGTGTTTTTCCCAAATGAATCCAATAACTATAATTAGCTGTTTGATGAAAGCTCCAAGCTCCAAGACCGAGCACATACACATTCAATTTATAGCTGTTCCCTGTATGTCTCATCAAGTCACAGTAAGCTCTTCTTGTGACTGAATAGTGGCACCACTGAATAAATTGTAAGCATGATCAAAATAGCAAGTAGTTTGGGATTATAGCAAGACAATCATTGCATAGAGTAATTACAGTGCATTATGATTGTGAAACAGCAGGCAGTAGATCTACACTGATCAGTGGAAGGCGTTTCACTCTTCAACTACATAGCGAAATAAATGAACGACAAGTCACAAGTGAATCGAAGATTCAAGCATTACATACAAAAAGCATCGATTTCTTGTCATAAGCGAGTCTGGCGATTGAGACGCGCCCTCTGTCTGTGACGATGGGTACTGCAGTGTGCACTAATAAAACGTAGATTTAAAGAGACAGAGTTCACCTACAAAATTAATATTCTGTCGTCGTTTATTCACCCTTATGTCACCCCAAACCAGTTTGATTTTATTCTGTGAAAAAGAGAAGTTTAGCAGAATGTCCTGACTGACTTTTCATACAATGACTTCAGAAGGATGAATGGAGACTTATTGCTTTATTCAATGACATTGGCTGTTTCTCATATAATATCTGAACTGTAATTTGGAATATATATTATGAGACTTTATTGTAATTTTAGCAGCTACCATGTCTACTGAATAGACAATAGACCTTGGTCAGGATAGTGCCATATTTATTTTTTTAACAGGGATAAAAACGAGGTTGTGAGGGATAGAAGTAGCACAGGGCGTTCAATGTATTGTACCGCTATTTAAAAACATGCCGATTGCCAAGCCTTTGAAATGTCTTTCTGAAAAACTTTTGGTAGACAAAAACTTAATAAAACAGTTTTGAAAGATGTGAAATTTATGTGATTAGGACCTGTATACAGTACATGCCATTGTAAAGACTGCAAAGTCTATCCCTCACAGCCTCGTTATCATCTGCGTTAAATTCAATATGGCGTCTGACTGAGGTTTACGCTCCTTGGGACATTCTGCTATTCTTCATCTTTTGTGTTCAACATAACAGGTTTGAAGAACATTTTAAAAATCAGGTTTGGAATGACATGAGGGTGAATAAATGATTTTCATTTTTGGTTGAACTCTCCCTTTGAGTGTTTAAATGTCTTTTATAGCCTTTAAAAGTAATGTACAAAACAGCATGGTGATTAACTATGAGTACATCCAGTGATTTCTCTGAAGGAGCTCCATTCAAAAGTTGGATACGCATTTTATATCAATTGGAAAAGTGACAATAAATCATTAAATCAGGCACTCTTGGTCTGAGGGTCCTACTCTTCACATCGGTGGGCTGTCCAATTAGAGTAGGTATACACAGGGGTGTGGCCATCCTCACAGACATTAATATGTAAATCATTTTAGCCCCTCCCAATTACTTTCTGATAGGCTGGCTGGACTTCGGCGGCGAACGGCGGCTAATTTATCTCGTGCCCGAGCCGCCCACTGGGCAGGGCCGCCTGTCTGTGATTCAGTCAGACTAGAGTAACGAGACGAGTCCTCCTCCGAACCCAAGCCAACCCAGGACGGCAAACCCAGAGAATGCGGCAGAGACAGTGACAGAGGGGAGGACAGCGGGGACGAGTCGCTCCTCTTCTTCTCCGGCTCATTTTTTTCCTCCTCCATTCCGTCGTTCAGCTGAGGAGGCTCCCAGCCCTCAATCTTGTCAATCTTCCTCGTGGGTGTGATTTGCTTCATCGTCATCGAGATGCTGTCCCACAGACAGTGTGCTTTGTCTTTTTCTGGGTGCGCTTTACTCTTGTCGTCCTCCCAGTTTTTCTTAGCAGACCTGAGAGAGAATGAAGAAGCCTGATTTATTATAAAGTGAAAATATTTTACCATAAAAAATTATTAACACCTCTGGTACTGCTTGGATGACTGAAAAAAGTTCAATAATTAAACAAATTAAGCGAATTCCAAGAAATTTCAGCAACTATATATATTTGTGTATATCCAACGCATCCCAATACCGTGTTCGAGGAAAGAAAATGACGTGTTACGGAACCCCTAAAGTGAATAAATACGAGATGGGAGGAAAATACATATTTTAATAATTTTTCTCAGTTATATCATTGGGTAATTATACTGTATTGTGGGCATCAGGGAGCAGCTATTATGCCTGGCATTGAAACTGCTTTTGAATGCCCGATCGCTTTTTAGTTTCACTTTCTAGTTTTGTGATCGCGCGTAGTCTGTTTATACTATGGAGCGGCAGTATTTACCACACATTTTACAAGATTAAATGTTTGTCAGTGGTGCTGAGGATCTGCAAATCATTCGCCATCGTCCTCAGTCATGACGCCATCGTCCTCAGTCTTTCTCTGTTTATGTGGTAAGTGAAATTTTATGTACTGTAATGTAACAGGCAACCGTTAGCAATCGTTTTCTGAATACGGATTCACGTTTATTCCGCTTCCAGAATAAATCACCTAGGGATTTTTGTCCCGTCCATTGCTTATCGCTGATATTTCGAGAATGAATCCAGCAAAATTCTCGAAACTAACAGCATGTATGTGTCCGAAAAACGAAAGTTTTATTCAAATTCTGAATGGATTATAGCAACTGCCCCCCTTGCCCCCCCCCAATGTCGCATATATTTATTTATTTATTTATATAATATAATATATAACCGTTCAACCGTAATTTTACGAAGCTACAAGAATACCTTTTGTGCGCACAGAAAACAATATTAATAACAATTTATTAAACAACGTAATCTACGTAATCAACGTTCTTTACGTTCAGCATGTGCGTGCTGTCTACTGAACGTAAACAACGCTGATTACGTTGAGTACGTTCTAGGGTACTCTCCAAAATGGTGGAAGATGATAAATTGTTATTTTCTTTGCGCACAAAAAGTATTCTCGTAGCTTCGTAAAATTACGGTTCAACCACTGATGTCACATGGACTATTTTACTGATGTCCTTGCTACGTTTCTAGACCTGGGAACATTTCAGTTGCATTGCTGTCCACGGAGGGTCAGAGAGCTCTCAAATTTTATCAAAAATATCTTAATTTGTGTTCCGAAGATGAACAAAGGTCTTACTGGTTTGGAACGACATGAGGGTGAGTAATTAATGACAGAATTTTATTTTTTTGGGTGAACTAACCCTTTAAGATTTGTACTCATGGAAATTACCAAAGTAGTCACACCTGTTCATTAGAAGGGGGTGTCCAAATACTTTTGGCAAAATAGTGTATATACATATATTTATTTATTTTTGCTTATATGAAAAGATACAAGACTCAACAGTGAATTTAATATGCTGTACGTACATTATGGTGTTTAGTTTTGTGTCATAATGGCACAAGGCAGTCACATATGCTTCAGCAGGAAGGACAGAGGCCGGGCCACAGGGTGCGGTTTCCATTTCAGACACTTACTTGATGGTTGACTTGCTTATTTAAAATTACACTATATTTATCTACAAAAACATATATGTGAGATATTCCATTGCTATGTAAAGATATATTTATCTCTATTTTTATGGCATACAGTATGGAAATGTTCATTTCTAGGCACTCAAAGGTGCCGTGTGTGTATCTCTGGTGTTAAAATACTTTTTCCTAAACTAACTTTAATATGCAGAGTCAACTATAAGAAAGCCATTGGTTCATTTCCCCCAAAGACTGACTGTAAACACTGCGGCCCTGTGCTGCTCTTACAACATGGCTTTGTT